TTAGAATATACGAAGTAGGAGTATATAGTTAGATGTTCTGTCAGATCTCAAAGACCATCATGGGCATTTTCTTACTGCAGTTGGTTGTAAGAACATGGAGAAATTACTAAAAATGCTTCATTGAGCGCCACTACAATCCATTGTTGCTCTCGATGCTCTGTACTTTCTTTCTTCGACTCGGTTTTTGTGCCCATCCATTTCATTCCCAGCAAGCTTTCGTCTTCTCCTTCCGATGCCTCCTATCTATATCCCTCATTATCGCTAGCTAGTACTAGTAACTAGTAAGTAGTAAGTATCTTCTTCTGTCATTTCGTATTCCTTTTCACCATCAGTATTAATTTGGTATTCCTCTTTTATGGCTATTTTCTTCTTTAGAGATGTTTTTGTGGATAAAGAAGTCGTGGGTAGTTTTTTGAGGTAAAAAGAGCTTCTTGTGCCAAACCAATTCATTCTTGGAATATATATTTTGGGTTGTTATTTGTTTTACTCCCCAGGTCGCTATTTTTGGCCTTTTTACTATTTTACGTGGTAAATGTAATTCCTTTTTATCTCTCGTTTTCTGCATCGTTTGTTTACCATAAATAAATGAAATTCAGTTATTGTGGTTCAGTTGAATAGTAAAACTAATTTAAATACTACGAGGGTAATTCACATTAGTTCTGGCAAAGATTATGTGATAAACCCAAGATCAATGAATAAGAAGCAAGATTCAGAAAAGCAGATAGAATGGCCAGAAAGAAGATGGAAGATGATCTGTATATCCCCCCCCATTACATTCATGCTAAACATTATGGGACAAAGAAATAAGGGCGGAGCAAGTAATATATGAGTTTGAATGTGGGACCCACTGGGACCCCATTGATATAGAGACATTGATAAGGTGTTTCATAGTGTTTTTTCATAGATAAAGGAGATCATTAAATAAAAAAGCTCTTAAAAAGGTGTCCTGGTAGTCATATTTAAGGAAAAAGCTACTGGGGTGTCCCATGGGAGAGCCGGAGAGGTTCCGGGGGTTCAATTCCAAGCACAAACTCGGAATGGAATCTCACTCTTTCCATCATGTGTGTGTGATCAAAGCTGAACTTATAACCTCCCGGATAACTGTTCGGTCGGTTCTGGGATCCTTAGGGATGGGTGTCATTTGTTTTAAGGAAAAAGCACATGTTTTAGTTATACCTAGGTGATAGGTTAAAATTTCCATTTTAACCTACAATAATTGCTCCTTATGTATTCTTAGAGAAAGTGAAGGAGATAATGGGCAATTTCAAACCCGGGAAGGTGTCTGAGATGGTCAAGAGTGATGATGGTGAAGATATGATCAGCCACTTACCTGATGACATTCTTTATCACATTCTTTCATTTCATCCCACCACAGATGCAGTAGCAACGTGCATATTGTCTACTCGGTGGAAAAACCTATGGACCATTGTTCCTAAGCACTCTACCTGTGTTTTTGGTTATCCACTAAAAGTCACCTGTTTTATGCATTTCGTCCAAACAGTGCTTCAGCATAGGAACACACCAACTATTCAAAAGTTTCGCCTTTCTTTCTTTTTTGTCGTGTTTGTTTCACTGGCACTCATGTGTGTGCATGGCTATCATCAGCTATCAAAGATAATGTTCAAGAGCTTGACCTTTGCCTCTTTGTTGAGGAACCTTTTTCCTTGCCCCAATGTCTTTTTGATAGTTAATGACTTGCAGTTCTAAAACCAGAAATGAATTGCGTCCTTGAACTGCCTGATTCTATCTGTTTTCCATGCCTTAAACCCCCGCACCTCTGTCTTGTCACATTCCATGATGATACCTCAACCCAAGGACTGTTCTCTGGCTGCCCCGTGCTTCAAGAATTGGATGTATTAGATTGCGACTTGCGAGTGGATGAACTTGAAGTGTGTTTAATTTGTTTATCCATTCCTTCTTTGAAGAGTTTGACAATAGACGACTTGCCCTTTTTTGGATCTGTTGATGATTTAAATGGTTGTGTAATCCAGATTGATGCAGCCAATCTCCATTTCTACAAGTACAATGGCTATTTTACAAATGAAATTTATCTCTGTAATATGTCTTCTCGAATTGATTCTTCTATTCATGTTGCTCTGCGTGAGAAGAGGAAACAATTTGCTATCCGTGCGGTTAAGCTACTTGCAGGACTGAACAATTCCAGCTCCTTGAGAATATCTGTTGCTTCTGTCATGGTATTTTACTACAACTTTTGAATTACCTGTGAAAGTTTGTGAGTGAATACCATTTTGTATACATTCATTTTCTTTGCATTACCCCCTTTTGATTCATCAAATACCTCTAAACAACAAATTTAACTGAACTAAAAATATCATCTTTTGTATTTTATGCGCATAATAATCATATAACAAGATATTTGACACATTTTTTTTATCAAACTAGAATTTCCTATTGATATCTCTGTCACTCGAAACATAGTTGCCTGACAGCCATTGTCACTACCACCTTGCATCACTCGACTAAAATGAAAATAATGTCTTGAAGTGTTCTTGTCAATTAGGTTCTACAATTTGTAAGGACGAAACAGATACTCGTTTAGACACAACATGTACGTAGGCTTACTTTTTTGTGTGGAAGAAGGTGGCTTATATTAATAAGAAAAAACGTAAGCAGGATACAATCAGACATAGAGCCTACTGTCTACCGTCCGTCCTTGAACCAGACATAGAACCCGCCACCTCAAAAGAAGCAATCAAATTCGATGATCCTGAATTGGGCTTACCTGATCCAATAACTAGCAAACTAGGCTCCCCATCAACTATCCTAAGTTCTAGAGTTCTTTTGCCGGAAAAACATGGCACAACCAAAACAGAGTAAAGATCCAAATAAAAATGAAACATGAAGAAAACTAAACAATCAAAATAATATTCTTGAACCCTAGCACCTTTTTCAATCCTTGGCGGTGGTTCAAGAGGAGGCCGAACCATCGCTATGATTGTTGACGCACCAAAGCGGGTTTCCTTCAACTCGGCCGCCTCTTCATCATATCATCATCGATCACCCCTGTGCCGTCTCCACCAAAATCGATAGCAATCCCCCGCTTCTCTTCCTCAAGGATTAATCCTTGCCAAATCTGCATCAAAAACTTCATTGAAACCCCCTTCTCCACGGTTTGGCCCGCTGCCTACGACTATTTGGATCCTCCGAGACCAAGCTGCCAAATACGCCCTTCGTTCGAACCAAAATCCACCGCGCAGAAGCTCCTCAATCGAAAGCTTCGCCGGAAAAAACTATGCCCCAAATCCTAGGGGAAGGCCGCTTCTCTCAATAGTACTCTTTGTACATAGGTTTACTATTAAAATGCTCAAATTTTCATTTGTGTATGCTCATATCTGTAAAATTACGTATAGCTTAGGTTTCTCCTAACCCAAAAGCTACCAAACTCAAAAAACCTGCTTAACAAAAAACGAAAAAGAAAAATGGAGAGGTCACTCGGCGTCCGAGAAAACACCGCGAAATCCATAGCCTCCGCTCAGATCTCCATCACCGCACAAATCCGAGAGGCGAGCGAAGCCATTCTAGTAAGGAAGTGACAAGATTCGAGAGGTGGATGAGAAGAGATCGACCGTGTGACGGTGTGAGCAAAGCTCTTAGGGACGATGAGCTATGCGTAGCGAAAAAAACTTCGATTGTACCGTGCTCCAGAAGAGCTAACTGTAGGATATATTTTGTGGGTTCACGATTTGCCGTGATTTTAGCTTTCGAAATACTCCATCCGTCCCTTATAACTTTGCCAAATTTTCTTTTTGGATGTCCCATTAACTTTGCCACTTTCTCATTTAAGTAAAGAATTTGTGGTTCCAATTAATTCTCTCTACTCTGCACAAACCTCAACCACACAGTTTTTACTTTATTAATTCTCGTGCCGGTCAAACTTGGCATAGTTATTAGGGAAGTAAACTTGGCATAGTTATTAGGGAAGGAGAGAGTAATACAAAATCCAGAATAATATAATATGCCCTCTGTCCCGCTATGATTGTCTCATTTTACCTTTTCGGTTCGTCTCACTAAGATTGTCCCATACTTTATTTGGTAAAGTTTGTGTGGTTCTAAATCCTTCCTACTTTATTCTTACTTTATGAATTCAATACCAACCACATAAATTCACTTTTATTAATAACCGTGTCACCTTCTCTTCTACTCTGCACAAACCTCAACCACACAGTTTTTACTTTATTAATTCTCGTGCCGGTCAAACTTGGCATAGTTATTAGGGAAGCAAACTTGGCATAGTTATTAGGGAAGGAGAGAGTAATACAAAATCCAGAATAATATAATACGCCCTCTGTCCCGCTATGATTGTCTCATTTTACCTTTTCGGTCCGTCTCACTAAGATTGTCCCATACTTTATTTGGTAAAGTTTGTGTGGTTCTAAATCCTTCCTACTTTATTCTTACTTTATGAATTCAATATCAAACACATAAATTCACTTTTTATTAATAACCGTGTCACCTTCTCTTGTCCCAAACTTAGGGGACGGAGGTAGTAACAAAAAATGCAAGTCCAGAAATGCTCCTACGTACTCCCCCGTCCCATTTTGGTTGTCCTACTTTCCTTTTTGGGTTGTCCCAAAATGAATGTCTTGTTTCCCTTTTTAGCAAGAAATATGTGGTTCTTATCATTTCACTTTATTCTACTCAAATCTCAACCACAACTTTTACTTTTCAACCACTTTATTAAGGGGGTGTTTGGAACTGATTCTGCTTCTGCTTCTTTTTTAAAAACAGAAGCAGAATCAGAATCGGTTTTCAAAAGCTGGTACCCCCAGCTTCTAAAAAAACTGATTCTGAGAGTAAATTAGAGCTCCAGAAGTGCTTCTGGAATTTCACCCAAACACTCCAGCTTCTGCTTCTGCTCTCTGAAGGAGCAGAATCAGTTTTGAGAATCAGATCCAAACACCCCCTAATAATCGTGCCAAATTGAAAGTGGACAGAGACGGAGGTAGTATAAAATTATAAATACACAAAAATTCAAAGTTGAGTCCGAGGAAATCGACTATGCTTGGTTAGTAATTGCATCATCTCCGAAACAGGCGTTGAATGCAGACAGAGCAGCAGCGCACCAGTTTTTGATCATTTCTTTTCTCCTGAATTACTAATCATCACAAATGTTTTGCAATGCCTTCGCCGTTGATACTCAGCCCAAGGCAAAACTACGCCGCCGGAGGTCTCTTTGCTCTTGCCCTCCACCACGTCCAGATCCACCAAACTCGTCATCTTGGATCTCCATCTTACCACGACCACAGCAAACCGGCGCCAGAACGCACCCTTAAGGAAACCACCCACGGCTGTGATTCCGTCTCTGAACATCCTCGGTTCTGGGCCCACCATTCCTCCGGCCTGCTCCGCCCCATCTTCAAGTCATCTTTCTCTCTCACTCTTAATCTGTACTACTATATGTGCCCATTTTGGCCGTTATCGTTATTCTATTCGTTATTGAAGTGAGAAAAGAAATATAGGGATCTTAATATTTTAATTGTTCTAGGGTGATTAATTTAAGTTTCGGTTATCAATTTTATCTAAGAAAAGGTTTTTAGAGATCGAGGATTCAACGTGGACTGGGCTTGAGGAAACTGCTGGATCTTCAACAACTCAGAATCATGTAGAAGCGGTAGTTCCTTCTCTTCATTTTTTTTCAACATTATTTTACTATGGTGTTGCAGCAGTACACGTTTAGGCTCAATTTAGGATAGCGTTTATAGCTTGCAAAATCTCTAAGCACTGCTTTTTGGGTAATATGGATGCACTTCAAACGCACCACCATCACCATTCATTTTTAGTGGGGCCCACCACCACCTTCACCTCTCTCCCAAATAAAGCCTTAGACATTTTCTATTTTTATTGCATCATATTGTCTTCACTCATCAGCCATTATCAGTTTATCACTAAACTCTCGTGAATCTTGTATATCAGTTTGTTAAGTCGTTAGTCAATGAGGAAATTGGTGGTGGCTCTTCAGAAGCAGAGAGAAAGGAACTTGATTTGGCAAAAGCAATCGATGCTATGGTATCAAGATTGAAGCACTCTCTCAATTATCAGTCTTCCATGCAAAAGTGGTGTGCTTATGAAAAAGAATATAGGGAGAAGTATTCCACCACTGAAAAACTGGAGGAGGATTATGACCCATCTCTCACAAGACATGCACATATGGATCCTATTTCAGGGATGGGTGAAAAACCAGCGGAAGATATAAAATTGCTTTCGTATCATAGGAAATTGTCAGTTCTGTATGTCCTTCTTTCGGCTTGTCTAGCAGACACACCAGAAGAATCCACTAGACAAGTAAAGGGGTACGATGCGAGATACCGTGTGGCTCTGCGGTTGATTGCAACCTGGTTTGATGTCGAATGGGTTAAAGTGGTATGCTCTTTCTCACATCTTGTGCATACTGCATTGTACGTTTCTAGTTATTTGAGCCGCAGAAGCTGTGATTGGATCTGTATTATAAAAAAAGTTTATTTAGTATTCCCTCCGTCCCATAAAACTTGGCTAAAGTTGACTTGCACGTGGAATAATAAAGTAAAAATGGTGTGGCTATGATTTGTCTAGAGGATAGAAGATAACTTTAACCACATATGAATTACTTTAAATGGAAATGGAAAAGTTTTCAGGACTACTAAATAAGGAAAGTTAGCAAAGTTTTGTGAGACTGGGAGTAGTATACTGAATATATAATTAAAGAAAGTAGTATTTATTCTATCTAAGAGATGAAGGTTGAAGTAATGTTTTATAAGTTTCAGGCTTTCAGCCAAAAAGATGTAATTTCTGCACTGCTTTTCATCATCAGCCGATTTAGTTACCCAATGCTTAAGTCAGATACCCTTCGTATCACGTCCTTCTTATGAAATAATAGTGAGATGAAATTCCAAAACCTTCATCTGATCATAGGTTATTTCTGTCATTGTATGTTTCTGTAATATCCATTATGTGATTGGTATACTGAAATCAATATATGCATCAGCCATCATGACCAATTGTCAGGTTTAGTAGTAGGAGATTCTTTTGTGACTGGTGTACAACAACTGCTCTGTTTCTATATGTAGTGCCGTAAATCCTCTTTCGGGGTTCAGAAAGATATTTTGATTAACCTCCCATGAACTATTAGCTTTAATTTTTCCTAAATCAAATTTCATCAACCTTTCATGAAACAAACTGACTGTCTCAGAAAGGGTTTTAATACATAGACTTTATACTATTATTCAATTTGTTCTTCAATTTTCTTTTAAACTCAATTTGTCCTCGACAGTACATGTCTACTCAATTCACTCCATGGACATATTTTACTCTTAACTGTGAAGGTTTTTTATCCACCAAGGACTAGATTTGGTCCAAATTACATAGCGGAGAGATCCAACTTAGTTCGTAATGCGGGTCTAGATTTAGTGCATTGGTGAAACTCCCTTTCTTATTTAGAACCAAATATGCATGAGGATTAGATCGGGTTTAAATTGCATAGTCGAGGACTAAATTGAGCAAGAGTGTATAGTCTAGGGGTTAAACCATTAATTAACTCATTCAGGAAGCCATTGAGACCATGATAGCCTGTTCAGCAATGGCTATATTGAAAGCAGAAGAATCAGATGTAACGGACATATCTTCCGATGATGCATGGGCTAAGTGGAAAAGAGGAGGCATTATAGGTGCAGCAGCATTGACCGGAGGTACCATAATGGCAATTACTGGCGGTATGGCATCTTTTTTGTTTTCCTATGACTTTGCAGTGTAGCATTAAGCAGTTTTTAGATATGATCAATGGATCAAATTAAGTGGACTAGAGGTAAACCTGCACACCAAAATGGAAAATTCCCTCTGCAATCCGAACTGTGAAGTTTCTAATCCAATCAAATCCAATCCAATCTGTGAATACGGATCAGATTATCGTCTTTACACATTCAATCGATGAAAATGAGTACTCAATTTACAATCCTAAATGAGTGCATCTCAATAAGCTCAGATTATTTTCACCAATGCCCAATAAATCTATTACTCCCTCCATTGCAAAAGAATAACATTCCCGTTTCGTTACATTTTGTCTCACAAGAAAGCTACTGCTGAAAAACAGATGCTACTCCCTCCGTCCCAAAAAATACTTCCCAGTTTGACATGGCATGCCTATTAAGAAAGTGAGAATAAAGTGGAAATGTATGGTTGTTATTGAGTAAGAAAAGGGTAAATGAATGTTAGCCACACAAATCATTCCATAGAGGGAAATGGGAAGAGTTTTTTGGGACATCCCAAAAAGGCAAGTAGAGAGAATTTTTTGGGACAGAGGTAGTATTTTATTATATTAAAGGAAAATGACTTTAAATATATCAACTATTTGCTGTAGACTAAAAATAAACCCAACTTTAGAAATTATAATCATAGTATAACAATTTCAATTTTCAATACATACTGAAAACAATATTAGCTTATTTCCACCAATGTGCTGTCAAAACTAATTCCATTTTTATTTTAATACATATAGAGCAAAAATAATACTACCAGGTATTGGCCATAGACCAAAAATAATTCTTAACTTTGAAATCCAACCATACCACAATGTTCTTTTATTACTTGCGATGTATACTAAAATAGTTTGGCCATCAATTTGAAAGTACTAAGAGTCATTTTTCCTATATTTAATGCATTTTCTTTTTGAAAAAAGTGTCTGAAACAAGTTGGATTTAGTTATGCTAACAAAAAAGTTCAAAATTATATCTTGAATTTATATTTCCCAATGGTGGTACTTTACTAAAAAAGGTTTTACCTTACCTCAATTTAAAAGTGTAGCTAGGTGAAATGTGATTTTTTTTTTTTTTTTTGGGGGGGGGGGGGGGGGGGGGAGGGATAATGGTAGTATTATCAACTAACTCTGCCAAAGCACTGCTAGTCAATATACTAAAGGTTATTGTTCTTACAGGTTTAGCTGCTCCAGCAATAGCTGCAGGAGTGAGTGCCTTAGCACCAACTCTGGGGACAATTGTACCAGTGATCGGAGCAAGTGGGTTTGCTGCTGTTGCCAGTGCAGCCGGAACTGTCGCTGGCTCCGTGGCTGTGGCTGCATCTTTTGGAGGTGACATTCTGTCCTTTTAATTCTCCTTAACTAATTTGGTAGTATCCTTTTATTGCCGATATGCTTACTCTTAGGGTCTGTTTAGATGGATGGTTTTTGAGGAGATGGCTTGGTTTATATGTAGATAAAATGAATGTTTTTTACTTGCTCCAAAATCGAATAAATGTGATTAATACATTATTTGATCACATATTATATTAACCTTTCAAATTCTATATTATAAAATATATTTTCCAAATATAAACTAAGCCTCGAAAGCCTTCCCCTCCAAGCCACTCTAAATCCTCTCTCCAAAACTGATCCGTAGGGTGAGTTCGGATAGAGGATTTGGAAGGTTCTTGGAGGAGATGATTTTGGAGGTCTTAGTCATTAGTCCATATGTTGGAAACAGAATGTCACTATGTATGTAATGAAGTATGATTGTTAGATTCTCACCTATCATGTTATTCCAACGTCTATAATATCTAAAATACATATCATCTCATCGTGCTATAGATTTAGCCCTCCAAGACCGTCCCTTCCAACCCTCAAAATTTCTACATCCAAAGTCCAAACTGACCCTTAAGAGTTGCAAATAATAAGTACACATTTTAAAGACTTAAAACATCAAAGAGTCTGTATCTGCTAATGTTCCTCATCCTTTGAGTTCACTTATTGATTGACCTAAACAGCTGCTGGAGCTGGACTTGCTGGGACTAAAATGGCTCGAAGAATTGGAGATGTGGATGAATTTGAGTTTAAAGAAATTGGGGAAAGCCAGAACCAAGGCGTATGCTCCATGGCTTTTTTCTGCTCTTTCTGATAATTGTTTTATTGTCCCTTTCTGTTCCATTGTTTCCTTGTCGGTATCTCTAGTCTTTACACATTCTCTTCCTGATATGATATCATATCAGTTGTTTCTTATAGAGTTTGTCTTGTTAATTATGGATTACAAGTTATGGCTTATGTGACTTCCTTCTTTACTTCTTCCCTTCAGCGGTTGGCAGTTGAGATATTAATTAGTGGATTTGTGTTTGAGGAGCAAGATTTTATCAGACCTTGGGAAGGCCCACATGGAAACTTGGAAAGGTAGAGTTCATTTTTTCCCAAATATATGTTCTGTTTCCATTTGTTTCTATCATTTAGCAGCCCAAGAGTTCCCTCTACGTCTGATTTTGAGTTAATTACATTTACCATCCTCAAGATTTAATCCAATCACCAAATGATCCCTGAGGTTTTTGAAATTAAAAAGAAGCCCCTTGACCTGTCAGATTTTCTACAAGCATTCACTTTAGTACTTAAAGGTTAAATAATTGAATGATATTAAGATAAATTGGGTGCCTTCATATTGAAAATAGTAATTTTAATGCACTTTGTCAGCTAAAATATTAAAAGCTTTCACCCAAAAAGATTCATCACAACAATTTTTGCATGTAGTTTAGTCTACACAAATTTAATTTGTAATAATATCATTGAGTAATGTTAGGGAAAAATTAAATTATACATTGTGTGTAAACATTCTTATGTGATACACATTCATTTGACGATGATCACATATCTAATTTTTCAGTGCTGTTTAAGAAAAACCTAACACCCCAGTGGGCCTATGTGTAATTTCAAAGGCCTTGAGGACCATTTAATAATTTGACTAAACCCTAGGGGAGTTAGATGTAATCAACACCCAGATTTATCGAGAAAACATTAGTAGTGAATAAAACAATTATAAGTTACTTTCTTATTTTATTCTGAAACTTGCCTCAGATATGCCCTTCAGTGGGAGTCTGAGAATCTAATAACTTTGAGCACTGCAATTCAGGATTGGCTTACTTCAAGTAAATGATCTTATGCTTAATTTGTACATACATAATCCATTTATGATCTCATGATGTGGCTAAATCGATGCATTGATGACTTTCTGGCTTGCAGAAATTGCACTAGGATTGATGAAGCAAGGTGCAATGATGACAGTATTAAGCTCTCTTCTATCAGCATTAGCTTTGCCAGCAACCTTATTTACTATGACTGAATTTATTGACAGCAAATGGGCTATTGCTGTTAACAGGTAGTTCTTTCCTCACTTTATGCTCCGTTTTAACCAACCCGATAATTCTCATAGGGATTATTAAGTGTTTTTGTTTGCATTCTGCCTTTGTAATCAGTTTGTAGACATCTTTTTTACTTGTCCTGGTCCTATTTACTCGCCCACTTTCTGATATTTTCTGTGGTTCTTATTTTCCGTTTATTAGTATATATAAGCACTATCATTAATTATTTTCCCCCCATTTTACCCTCATTGGAATTAGATAGAAGTACATCGGGAAGCATCAAAAGAAGATCAGAAATGCATTGTATTAACCATGTAGACAAAAGTTGATTATAGCAATTTAATTTGATTAGTGTATCATCATCATTTTCCATCATTTGCAATGGAGCCAAAGATTCATTATTTTTTGGCTTGAGAATATGATGGAATAAAGCAAAATGGCTCACTAAACTGTTTGTGCTTCTTTGTTATGAAGCAGCAGTCAGTCCATGCAATTTTGGACGTGATTTTCACTATGGGTCATCCGGAAACAGTCTCTCTGTGCTTTAGTACATTAGTACAGGGGTAAGACTGCGTACATCCGACCCCCCCTTACCCCACCGTAGGTGGGAGCCTTTGTGGCACTGGGGTAAATGAAAATGAAATGATGAAAATGATAGTGTATCATCATCATTACCTGATAGGATCCTCCAGAAATTCACAACAATCCACAGAGAAATTGTAAAACAGAATCAAGAAAACAAAGAAGATTTTATTATCGATGAATCGGTAACAAGAATGGCCGAAGCCCCCAAAAGCCGAAGCTCCCAAAGAAAGAGATTATTAGTCTCAGTCTTCCCAAGTCCCAGAATTAAACAATCCAAAAAAAGCCTCCTCACTATCCCCCAGCTTCTTTCTATTTATACTAAACTTATACATTTTATTATTATTATACTCTATTGGGCCAGGCCCCTAACAATTGGGCCGGGTCCCTAACATTACCCCAATGCCGCAAAGGCTCCCACTTCCTACGGTGGGGTAAGGGGGGTCGGATGTACAGAGTCTTACCCCTGTATTAAAGCACAGAGAGACTGTTTCGGGATGACCCATAGTGAAAATCGTGTCGAAAATTGCATGGACTGACTGCCGCTTCATAAATCATAACAAAGGAGCGCATACAGTTTAGTGAGCCATTTTGCTTTATTCCATCATATTCCCAAGCCAAAATAGTGAGTCTTTGGCTCCATTGCAAATGATGGAAAATTTGATTAGTGTATAACTGTATATATAAATACATAAATAAGACTACACAAGTGGTTTTTGTTAGATAAAATAAGTTTGCAGTGATAAGTAGACAGATAAATAGGTCTAGAGAGAATATCACTACATGGACACATTGTTCTCGCATCATTCCTTTCTGTCAAAGTTTCAGCAAAAATTGATATTCATATATCACTTTCCCTCGTATATTTGTTAGATCTGATAAGGCTGGAGAACTGATGGCGGAAGTGCTACAGAAAGGATATCAAGGACAACGGTGTGATTGCTTGGCTTCAATTGAATCATTTAGAAAATATTATTCCTTCAAGGGTCCGTTTTGAACTCGGAAACTGACGTGGAAAGAGATTTGAGAGAAAGGGGGGTCTGGAAGGGAATATGTTGGAGCATAAGAAAATTGCTTCAAACTCAACAAATCACTTTTTATAAGGAAAATTCCATATATACGAGTGTATGACTCAAATATAATGCAATGCTTCAAATAGGACCATCATAGTAATTTTTCACTCCTTGAATGAGAATTATTACTGTTATATTTTAGAACTGAAATAGTCATATTTTTAGCACAAAACAAAGATACTTTTATTTGTGCACATGACCTGTGTTTTATTCATAGTTACTACTTACTATATTTTTATTTTTATATTCATACTCTTTATTTCAATATATCTGTTATGTAAATGCTAAGCGTAATGTCTTAAAACAGTTTTAATCATTTTGGTTTTTTCTTCGTATTTTCTAATGTCAAACCAAACATTGAAAAAACGTTTTCCATAATTTTCTTTATTCTTTTTTCCTACCATTTTCTGAGTTCCAAACATGAAACATAGTCTACGGCTTCGTTGGGAAGAAAGAAGAGAGGAAAAGTAGAAGGAACAAGAATTGGGGAAAATAAATGATCAGTTCAAATTCAATAACTTTAGTTTAGACATTTGCTTGAAGTCATTCATTAGTTGATTTATATTTATTAAAGATTAAGTAATCTAAACCTATGTAAAATTTTAACAAATACTAGAAATATTTAGTTTTCTCTTAGATTTTACAAGGTGATACTAAACATAAGCAAATGACTTTCCGTAGACTTTTTTCCCATTCCATAGCATTTACTGGAATAGGAGAATAGCCTAAAAACACGTGTTAGCAGTTTATGAAGGATTTCCATTGTTAACTGATCATGAGTGTTTCAGGCCAGTGACATTGGTAGGGTTTTCTCTTGGGGCAAGAGTTATTTTCAAATGTCTCCAGACTTTAGCTGCAGACGAAGGAAATGGTCAGTGGCATGAAATTACAAAGAGAACGTTCTATTGATACTTGTGTTATTCATTATATATTTATGTTATTATTAAACTTTTGCAGCCGGGCTTGTGGAACGAGTTGTTCTTCTAGGTGCACCCATTGAAATTTCCACCGTGAGCTGGAAAGCAGCCAGAAAGGTTTTAGTTTCTGATTTATATATCTTCTCAATATATTCAGAAAAGATGAATGGGACAGACCGTTTGGTGAACTGCTCACGGAGTACACAACAAGACTGAACCATTTTTTTTTGTAAAAAAGAATCATAGAGCTTGTGGATGAAGACATAAGTATCATCATGTCCCAAAGCATTTAGAAAGATAAATAGCACTTTGAATAATCCTCTGTCCCAAAAAAAGTCTTTTTTTGTCAAGATTTAAGATACAGATTTAAAATTTTGATGAACTATGAAGGTATGTAAATTTTGAAATCCACCTATTTGTTGGTTTTAACTAAATTTTTCACATTTAACTTGTTGTAGCTTCTTTGGGCAAATTACGTGGAAAAGTTATTTTGTTGATTTTTATCTTTTTATTTTATTTTATTTTATTTTTAAAGTTATTTTGCTGATAAATAAGTCTTTTTGAGAAACTAAAACATGTCTGTTTTTAAGTACAGAGAAGTATTTACATTGGACTACAGACTAGTTAGTAACTAAACAAGGCTGTTTTAATATTTAATAGGCCCTGCTAATTTAAAAGAAGTTAGATTTTGTGTAATAAAAGCTGTTTACATTTGTATCTATAAGTACTTTTGAAAATTTACCATGTTCATATTTTCCAAAATAAAACATTAAAATAGTTTTTTCGTATTAAAACAAAAAGTAGCTTTTGTATATTATGTAAACTATATTATTTAAAACTTTGGGCCTACTAAATTAGGAGGCGATGCACTTCTTGCATGCCTTACAAAGATGGCCCTGTAACTAAATAATTCATATTTAGTTTTTTTTTATGTGATTATATGATATAAATTTTATACTAATTATATAAAAAGGACTCCACTTCAAGCCGACCGCTGACCTGACCATTGACCCTCTAAACTTCTCATCTCACTAGGTCAAGTGGTCAACTACTTTACACGTTTTCCGGACATTGTAAATTCTTCATGTTCCTCCTTGTCACAGTATTATTGATGAGCCATTCTGTTTTTTTGCAGGTGGTGGCTGGGAGGTTTGTCAATGCTTATTCCATAAATGATTGGATGCTTGGAATCGTATATCGTGCCAGGTTATGCATCTTATAGCAACTCATCTGAAAATTAAGGGTTTGCACGTGTTTTATTCTCTTTCTGTGATATTTGATTTTGCATGTGTTTTATTCTCCTTGGCTTTGCATTCTGAGTGCCAAGTGGGGTAAAAATCAAATATTTATATAAACATGTGCAAAGTTTCATAAAAATATTGGCATTTGCACACCATGTTTACCCTGATATTGTAGGGTGCAAAGTCAGAAAATAATACTAGATTGCAGAGTTGAAAATTCGGATAAACATGTGGTGTCGGTAGCAAACTTCCCCACAAATAAATGTAGAGTTTGTAAAGCGAAGAATATCATCCCATCCCTCCATTTAATAATTTGTTGTTTCAATTCTTAAACAGCCTCATGAGTCAAGGACTTGCTGGGATTCAACCAGTTCAAGTGGATGGCATTGAGAATGTAAGTTATGACGTTTACAGAAATGCATTTATCAACGCATTATCTTTGCTGCCTTTGTTACGTTAATTCATGTTAAGTTATTTTCTTATAACTGGTTTTACCTTCAAAATGCAAAGCAAATGAGCTAAGATTAATGTTTTCAGAGTTTTACATATTTTTAGACTTCATAGTTCTTATTAGGAAATAGATAAACGAGTTTGAACAAAAAAGCGACATCTCCGTAATCACAAGCTCAGACATTTTCTTGTACTCACACATTTTGTAACACAAAATTACAAAATGACTTTGTATTATAAAGTGAAGTAATATACTTGTATGTGCTCGCTTTATTTTACTTGTATTTGACTATTTGTGACTTCACCCTACATCACTCGGTAACAAATTAACAATTATGAGAGTTGAGATTTGAGAATAACTAAATAAGCCATCTTGGATTGTGTCATTTCAAGAGACATCATTGGATTGTCTCTCTTATCGCTGGAAGGATCTCATCATCTCTAGGATTCACTATCATTTGTTTAGAAGTTTTCTGCAAGTTGCTTGGTCAGTAATAGGGGACTACTGCCCTTATCTATCTCCTGAAGTGTCCATAGACTTCCCATAATTTTATGGGAGAGACCTATAGATTTTCACACTTCTCCAGAATTTTCTAATTCTTGCACAAACTTCCTCATGGCTCTAAAGAAATTTATGCTTATCTAAAGAAATCTAAAATATTCTACAATATTGTACTCTTCTATGTTCTTGAAACTCATACACTTCTGTAGGTAATTTTAGAGTACTTCGAAAGATTCTATGCTTTGCTACATACATGGATAGAAGTCTACATATCTTCACAGCGTTTTAGAATTCTTAAAGAACTTCTTAGTTATGGATGGATCCCAACACCCCCACTCCATTTTAGTTGAAAAGTAAGACAATGAGCAAATATGTATATCGGAGTTAAAAGCATTAAATAGAAAATGAGGAAGACAAACAATAAAATTTTATTCTTTCGCACGTATGCCCTTCCTCCACAACGCTTAATCTTTCGCATGTATATCAGAGTTAAAAGCATTAAATAGTGACTTCTTCACCTTGAAGTATCAGCAGACTGGGCTCAAGTAGAAAATGAAAAATCTTAATTGATGAGAAATTTAAGAAAATGACCTGTGAAATTTCTGATATACCTGATTTTGACAGGTTGATGTAACAGAATTAATTGAGGGACACTCTGCTTACCTATGGACTACCCAAAGGATCCTAGACTTGCTCGACCTTGATGCATACAATCCTGTTTGTGGTCCTGCGACTGACTAGAGAAGTACTACGTAGTACTCTAGTCTTGGAAGTGGGACAACAATCTGTGTACAAAGTTTGTGCGGCATCACAATGAGCAGCATTTTGGAAAATAAAGAGCTTTTTTTTTTTTTTTTTAATTTTTATAGCGTAATTTTCCAACATACTTTAAATTTACCCACTGGGAGATGTTCGTGTTGGGAATTAAAGGGTGGGATTGAGGAGTTCGTATATGGTACCACCGGCTGTACGGTGAGCACCGTACAGCCGGTCCAGTAACAGGCTCAAGGGAAAATAGGGACAAAATTTGGTGGCAGTTTTGTAATTAATGTAAAAATCGTGGTATCTGCTAAATGAGCATTAGTGCACTGTTAATGAGTGGTAGTCCAATTTTAATGAGTATTAAGCGTACAATAATGAGCATCATGTTAGTACAAGAAAGTTGATATCACAACTAAAAACGGTGGCATTTTTGTAATATCAGTGAAAAGCATGATTTTCAATAGATGAGCATTAACACACTTTTAATGAGCATCAAACGTATTCTATTGAGAATCAAGAGTCGAGTAATGAGTAATGTGATATCAATTTCATATATTGTAATTCACTTTTTTTTCTTCTTTTTTTTCTTTTATAAAAAAGTCATTAAATTATATCTAAAATCAATGCCTATAAATTTCAATATGTGAATCTAATGTAATATGGTACTTTTGAAATATGTTTTAATATGACATGCATAATAAAAATGAGCATAACATTAGTATCGATTGAGCATTTGTAGCTTGCAAAATAAGCATTAATATGAAAATAATAAGCTTTGTTAGTTGAGCATCAAGACATTTTTCATTGAGCATTAAACCTGCTCTGTTGAGTATTAGAATCATGCAATTGAGTACTGATTGAGCATTCGTAAATTATAAAATGAGCATTAGTATGACAATCATAAGTTTTTTTGTTGAGCGAGCATCAAGACGTTTTCATTGAGCATCAAATCTTCTCTATTGAGTATTAAAAAATGCAATTGAATATCATGATCTTTAGCATGCCCAAATGTTAAATGAGTACACATATCTTCCAAGATGAGCATCGAGAAATTTAAAATGAGCAATACTCCAATAGCCATGGATATGATATTTTAAAATGAGTACCTCACTATATCAAATGAGCATACTCATTTAAAACATTTCGGATCCCACAAATGAATTGTACTCATCAACAAAAAGCATTGAATCTCAAACTAATCCATTCTACAGAATCCCAAATTGAAGCAAATTGAATCCCATGGCAATTAATCCTTTCCATAGTATCCCAAATTAAAACCTCCCACTTTTTGCAAAGTTGAAATCGGTCCTCCTAGAATCTGAGAACTAGGCGTGCACGATTATCCTTCACCAGATCTCCATCAATCCTGGGAATCCAGCAAGTGACACATCCTTCACCAGCCTCCAGGAAATTAGCAAGCGAACAACAGAAGCCGTTGATGCCTTCTCCATGCCTAATCTTTATCACCAGAGTTGTAATTAATTGCAAAAATACCCGGTTGTACGGTGAGCACCGTACAATCGGGTGTACGGTATAATTTACCGGGATTGGGAGTACAACTCTCACATTCACAACTCTCATAGTCTCATGTTTGTTCAGAAAAGTTCATTTTGTACCCTCTTGCACTTTTATACACTATAAATACCCATTTCACTCTCTTATGTCTCTTATCCCCTCTCCCCATTTTGATTCTCATTCGGATACCCAATTTTATCTTCCTGTTCTCTATCTTTACATTTCTATTTTTTCGTTACTTCCAAAAAATCCCTTTCTATTTCTCTTTAAATCCTTTATTATCATCTTTCAACTTTTTCTTCTTCAAATAACATGTAAGTTGGTCACATAGACAACCGTCACAACAACACAATTGGTTTATGTACCTACTAACAATTACAATTTTGTTCACACAGATAATTAAAATTAATCACAATATTTTGCTTTGAATAGGGGAACTATTACCCGTGTGATAAAATTTATCCGGAAAATCCATAATTTGGTTACACGGAACTATTGTCATAGTGCACAGATATTGATTTGCAAGCCAGAATTTCCTGTGCCCAATGTTAGCGTACTTTGGTTCCACAATCAATGTTTGTGGGTGCATACAAAAGTTATTTGTGTATAGACAACCGTTCTTTGTGTGAACAGATAATCTTATATTGGTTGTGCCCGACAAACGTGTACTAAAATGCAAGTCATTGTGTGCAGAAACAACTTTGATTTGTTTAATGGAGAGAAGAGGTGACAGGAGTTGCAAAGTGAGATGAAAATTCTACTCCGAAGAATCAACCAGAGGATATCAATTGGAGGGGAATAGATCGCTATATAAAATAACTAACCTCCACATGCCTTACTAGTAACCTCTGTTCTAAAAATCGTTCTAGGCGCCCGACTAGTCCCCGCCTAGGCGCTAGGCGGTGATCGGGCGCCCCGATTTTCGTCTAGGCGCTCCGACTAGTTGGTTTTCCGTCTAGGTGAATTAGTCGGCCGCCTATGGCGCATAGTTGCCCGCCTAGAGCGCCTAGTCGGCCACCTAGGCCGTCTAGATTCGCCGAACATTACTTCACTTTTTAATTTTAATTTTCTAAACGATATACGTACTTTAAATTTAGTCATGGATATAAAGAAATGAAGTTTTAAATTAAGATAAAACTATATGTGTTTGTATATATACATAAATTTTATCGTTATTTATATTTATAACATAATGAAGTTAAGTGATTAGTTATCATATACTACGTATGATTAAATGTGATAATTCTATCATTCAAATTTGTTAATGTATATGTACATATGTATTTTATACACACAAAAATACAATATTACTTATCATATTTATGCAAAAATATAGATAAAAATGCAATTTCTATATCTCCGACTAGTCCCCGACTAGGCGCCCGCCTAGCCGCCTAGGCGCTAGGCGCTGAGCTGGCGCCCGACTAGCGCCTAGCGCCTTTTAGAACATTGCTAGTAACTACTAGCATTGCTTTCATCGCTTAATAAAGGCCGACACAAAATTTAAGAAAATGAAAAATAACGGCAAAACAATATTGTTGCTTTTAAATACAAATAGTTTAAGAGTTTATGTTGAGCTTTATGTTAGTTCTCGTTTTTATTACTGCTTTTTTGGTGTTTTTGGATCAGGCTTTTGTGTGGTCTTTTCTTGCTTTTGTTAAGTTTCAAAGTTTGAGTAAGAGCTTGTTTACTTTTTTATTATTATTAATTTTATTTGGATTAAGATCTGGGGGTTAAGATGTTTGTCTGAATTAAATGATATTTGTATATGAGCCTCTTATTTTGTTTGTTGAATTACTTGAATAAATTGTCTCCATTGAGTAAAATAATCAATTTAATACTCGTATTATTCTTGAATTATAATGTCAATGAGAAATTTCATTTACTAATATATATATATATATATATATATATATATATATATATATATATATATATATATATATATATATACATACATACTAGACTCAATACCCGTACGTTGCACGGAAATACTCAATACACATTAATGAGATTAAAAAAAGAGATAGTTTAAATATTTATTACATACTCATTTCATAGTTAAAGTGTTAGTAAACCGATCAATGATCACATTATGGATTACAAAATTACAATTTTCTACTTTATTAAAAAAAACTGATTAAACAATAACAAATTAACCACGATGCCCAAAGTCTGTGCTTCATTGATGTTGTGCAACGATGTGAACAACACGCAACATGCCTACATGTATTAAAATAGTTGACATGTTAGTAAGAATAAAATTCATTACTAAAGATATAAATCAAATAGCAAGTATATAAAAAATGTAATTATTTGTTTATAAATTACATAAGACAAAATTTGGAACACTTCTTTGTAAACATTATTTGTTGATTTCACTTGCTGCCCTTCATCATTGCATAGTAGAATCTTTATACCATTTCTCGATGTGACTCTAGACATAGCCACATACAACTGGCGTGTGAGAAAACTGGTTTAGGAAGATAGATCCCCACATGCTTCAATGATTGACTCTGACTTTTATTTATGGTCATGGCAAAAGAAACAATGATCGGAAATTGCCTACGTTGAAACTTGAAAGGTATCCTCGTATCAGACGAAATCAATGATAATCGTGGAATGAAGACCTTTTGCCCAATGTTGCTTCCAGAAATTACCTTCCCCTCCAATACATGATTACCCATCTGTGTGATTATAAGGCGAGTGCCATTACATAACCCTGAAGATTGGTCAATATTTCTAATAAGCATAACAGAGACACCAATCTTTAAATTCAATTGGTGATTTGGCAAACCCGAAGAATTGATGGTATTCAAGAACTCAGGAGTATGCACATCGTCTGGTGACCCTTTGATTCCCAGTAAGGGAGCACGGAGTATCAAAACTCAAATATGTCTTCAATTCACCGGGAAGCAATGGCATCATATAATTATTTACAACGTCAACAACATCATTCCTTGGTGTCAATATAGCCCTGTGCTGAAAAAACGAAATATCGTTCATGTTCTCTATAAGTGATGGGTAAATAGCTTCAACAATAGCTGCAAGTGGGTCACCGGAAGGAGTAATAAGCATGTCATCGGGTATATCAATCACTGACTCCTCATCATGAGCCTCGCCAATATTGCCATCACCAACTTTGAGAACCATATCTGAAAACGACTGTATGTCATCAAGGTCTTCATTTGTTGCACCAGACAGAAGCTTCATATTTTTCGTTAAAGTCAAAACATTGCAGAACTGCCAAAGGTATGAGGAGTTGATCGCAACACGTACAATATCCTGCCTCGTCCCCTTAGGAATTACGGGGATAATTTGTCTGAAGTCTCCGCCCAAAAACAACAACTTTTCCTCCAAATGGACGATTAATGTTGTCATCATTATGGAATCTAAGTATATCTCTAAAAGTTCTGTCCACCACCTCAAAGCAGTGTCTGTGGGTCATAGAAGCTTCATCCCATATGATAATCTTAGATTTGATGATCAACTCAGCCATATCGCTATTTTGCTTGATATTGCAAGTCGACTCCTCGTTGACATCGATGGGTATAACAAATCTTGAATGAGTTGTTCTGCCTCCGGGGATAAGCAATGTAGCTATTCCACTAGATGCCACATTGAGAGCAATTTGACCTCTGGACCTGATATATGCAGATATTGCTCTCCAAATGTATGTCTTACCTGTACCACCATATCCATACAAGAAAAACAAACCTCCACTACCAGAATCCATAGATTCTATGATCATGTCATATACCTGTCTCTCTTCGGAAGTCGTCGTGGATAATAGTATCTCAAGTTCTTTGGCAAGAGATTCTCTATCATAATTTAATTCATCATAG